TAACAACAAGAGTATTACAAAACGTATAAGTCGGTAATCAGACAGTCTCGTGTTGTGGAATATGATGCAATCAGATCACAGAAAGGGTCAGAGAGAATTTACTTGTTTAAGGTCACGGATGAGGGGAACGATGGTAAATGATGGAGCATCTGTGATGGGTCACTTTAAGTTGGAGTACGCTACCGAGCGAGGTTACCGTTTTTGGTGAAGTGGGGTTCGACTGTACCCCCTCCCTTGTACGCCCCAACCCCCAGGCCCATTCGCGAACGTTGTGTTCTTGGCCGCTGAGTGAGTGAATCTTCGACGAGAACGAACGTATCCAGAGGTAATTGACCGCGGTTGAGCGGTAAGAAAGTGTGTTAGGAGGGATCAATAAATCGGTCACCATGCCCAGACGTGAGCGAGTGTATTTAGCCTGGGCCTTCAATAGCCTATTAAGTAAATTCCTTTGAGGTAGAGTTTCCCTCGGATAAGATTATTCCCTTTGACCCGAATGCAATTGCTTAAATGTTTCTGATATTGAAAGGCACATGTGACAAGATACTCTACGATAATACAAGAATACAGTAAAAGAACTAACAGTATTTCACCTGGATGACAAGATCAAATTTGAACTCATTCACAAGCTAGCAGAAATCGCTTTTTCTATGTGATTCCCGCATTCTCATAGTTCAGCGTAAGGCAGCAAAATTGCGTTTTTTTACTAGAACGAAGTGCTGATAGAGTTCAGCTACTGTCTATTCTCGTAAGCCATGGAATGCCCAACCTACTATTGTCCTCCTCCTATCACACTATTTCTCACTCGTCGATTTAAAAGGGTCAGGCTGTGAAAAGAGATGACGAGGATTATAAATAATGCAATAAGGATTAAGAACCTATATGACGAATAATTTCTCCGTTAGATGGCCGTACTGCGTGCGTGCAGCCTCGACAACGTTAGGTGATATTTGTTTCTGCTATGTTATGCTTTACATGAGTTAAGTGATTAGAGAACATTGTGAATAACTCATTCAATTTCGATACCGCTTCTCTGGGTTGTCTTGTAAGCCTAGACCTACAGTCGGGTAAATGTACCAAATGTACAAATAAAAGTCGTCCCAAACACTGTATCATACATTCGCAAAACTACTCAACTTGATTCTGAGGTGTTTGTATCCTTTCTGTTTTCTCTCAACTGATTTGCACAGCAAGGAACTTACATCTGCAAATGCTTCATGCTCCAAGTTTCCCTTTACCCATGTTATCCAAGGTATAAATATGTTCGAATTTGGGATTTACTCACGCGTGCAAAATTGTGCAATTTTATT